CAAAACACCTAAGAAGAAAAATAGTTGACTTATTGAAGAAATTTAATCAGTGATTTGTTGGAGTCATCATCCTTTTCTTTCTATATTACCAAACTGCCTGTAACAAAATACAAAAATTAAATTTTACTATTTTGGATACTTTGGAACAAAAGCAGTTGGCTAAGTGACACAGGGTAAATACAAAGACTAATCAGCAGTATAAATTGGCTTTTCTAAGCAATATTTGGGGTCAAACCTAGATGGTGATGAAAAGCAGATTGTGATATGTGGACTTTATTTTGAAGTAATACAAGACCAGTGAAAAGTTGTTAGCACAGAAGTTATGAAGAATGTTGTACTTTAAGGTAATTTTAGTGTCAAAAATATTAAGAAATATTCAAGTAGAGAAATATGAACTTAATTAGTTAAAATTTAGGTTAAAAGGGCCTAATTACAACAGCAGCTAAAATAGAATAATACAAATACGCTACATCTGGATGTGGCAAAAAAAAAAAATGTGAAGCACTATCTCTGACACTGAAAGCACAATGGCGTCACAAACTAACTAGGAATGTGGTGAGATGGTAAGTTAATTTGATATCAATTATATTACTCAATTACTTTTATTCTTTTTTTCACAGTATTGTTTTACATGAGCATTCTGCATCTTTTCTCCAAGAAGTTTTATCACTGAATGAATGATAATTACAGGTGGAATATAGCATAAAGTAATAGTGCTACTCTGTATTTGGAGAAATAAAAACCTACTACTTGCGACAACACAGCTCTCAAGTTTGAACGCCTGGGTTTAAAATCTAGGCTCTAGCATTAGCTGTGACAGCTAAGTCACTCTGTATCTAACTTTCTGGTGAAAGGGAGATAATAATAACTGCACTTCACTTCCCCAGGAATGAATGAGTTAATACAGTCATTGTACGTAGAAAAGAAATTGGCATACAATACGCACTCCAAATTTAGTTATTACTTATTCTGTGCAAGGCCCTCAGATAAAGATTACAAAAAAGGAGAGTAACTAGTTTTAGGAACTTACAACTTAGGGAGGAAAAAGTAACTTACACATAACAATCTGAAATAACTGCATGTAATACTAATCATTAGTACAGTAAAATGTGGGTAGGAAAAAAATTAATGCAAACAGACTAAATGCTTCAGAAAAGGATTTTCCTAAGTTAACTTGTTACTTTCTGGTCAGAAAACATCAAATAAGTAATGTAATTGGCAGCAGGTGGTTTTTCCTTCAATATTAATGAAAATGTAACCAATAACTTGAGATTTAGGGTGTCTACAAACTGAAGATGTAAGAACAGCAACAAGATTTAGCAGTACTGGGGATAGAATGTAGCAGGTACCAAATTCCAGGCTTATGATTTCATGATATACAAAGTTTCTTTTTTATAAAAGAAAAATTATTTTATTTATTTTAAACAGAGAGAGGTAGAGACAGAGAGGTCTTCCACCTGCTGGTTCACTCCCCAGATGGCCGCAACAGCCAGAGCTGCGCCAATCTGAAGCCAGGAGCCAGGAGCTTCTTCCGGGTCTCTCACGCAGGTGCAGGGGCCCAGGCACTTGGGCCATCTTCTACTGCTTTCCCAGGCCACAGCAGAGAGCTGGATCGGAAGAGGAGCAGCCAGGACTAGAACTGGCGCCCATACGGGATGCCGGCGCCTCAGGCCAAGGACTTAACCCGCTGCGCCACAGCGTCTGCCCGTTTCTGGTGTTATATATACCATGTAAATATTGCATTCAATTTTAATATTAACACTTTCGTCAAAGACTGTAGGGAGCTTATTAGAAAAATAAAGCTAAATGCATATAGCCCATTCTCTTGAAAACTTTGGATACTTTATTCTAACTCTAAATTTTCCTTTTTCTGATCATATAAAAGGATCTGATTCCTTCCACTAAAGGCCTACAGAAATTGTCACCTTATGACAGCCTAAACCCAAAGATTGAAGTTTAAATACAACATTGTTTAAGTAAACAGCCTATTGATGTATTTTTTTCACTTGATTCAGTGATTTACAAATACTAACACTCAATAATTAAACATCAAATAAACTTGAAGAGAACCCAGATCCAGAAGGTCATTTCCTTGCACTGCAACTGGGTGGACATAAAGGTTATAAAGGGGGGAATGCTAGGAATGCGTGTTTGGTACAATGGTTACAACACCCCCTGAGATGTCTGTACCTCATATCAAAGTACCTGGGTTCATGTCTTGGCTCCCAATTTCAGATTCTTGCCAGTATGTACCCTGGGAGGCAGCAGATGATGACTCAAGTAGTTGCCCACATGAAAAACAAGACTGAATGAACAGGCTCCTGGCTTTGGCTGATCCAGTCCCTAGTGTTGCAGACATCTATGAAGCAAACCAGTAGATGAGAGATTTCCTTCTTTTCCTCCCCATGGCCCCCTTTACCTGTCTTTCCCTTTTCAAATGTGTAAAATTTAAAAATTAAACAGGGCTATGGGAAATGAAGAAGTGGGAGGAAGGGGTAAAAGTTGAGATCACATATATAGCCTCTTCAGAAGAAACATATTTTTAAAATCCTTTATCAGAATTAGCAATATCCAATCATTACCAAACATCTTAAGATGAAGCTTTAATACAGAACTTTAACAAAGTTCTTAAGACTATTATCTTACTATTTTTCACATTACCACTTTCTCCACATTATGTTCAATATTCATAATAATTCTTGCCAAAAATGAAATGAATTCTCAATATTTTTTTTTACGTTGCACTCAACAGTGGCTTGTGTCCATTTCTAATACACTGTAAAGCCTGAGTTGGATCCCTGCTTTAAGCTCCCAACTCCAGCTTCCTGCTCTTGTAGATCCAGGGAGACAACAGTGATTGATGGCTTAAGTAATTGGGTCCCTGCCACTTACGTGGGACAGATTGAGTTCCTGGCTCCCAGCTTTGGCCTGGCTCAGTCACGGCTGTTGAGGGCATCTATGGAATGAACCACTAAGTAGAAGTTCTCTCACTCAAATAAATTAGAAAAATTCTTAAAAATAATTCACAAATAATAATTATTGTAAAGTGATATTTCCTAGAAATTATACTTTCATTCACAAGATTTAGTTCTCTTAGAGATTTAGGCAATGTTGTTAAATTTTATAAAAACATTTTAATATACTAGAAGAGTAGCCTGGGGTTAAATCTAACATCATGGCAGAATATTTAAAAACAGCATAAAGATACCTATAGGACACAAAGATGTGCTTTGGGAAGACCCATCAACTCTCTGAAATATGAACAATTTTTAATACCATATGCACAAATTACTTTTTTTTCTTGGAAGAAAGACTATAGTTCAAAAGGTTGATGACCATGTCCCACAACCCAAAGAACCAGTGAAGAAAAGGGTATATGGGAACTAAGAAAAACACTATAGTATTGTTTTCCTTCATTTTTATGACCGATTTAACCATCAAAGCCATTTTGTTAAACCACAATGTTTATGATTAGCTTTAAAAAACAATGTTCCTGAAATCGTCAGACTACCAGCTACAAAGATGGCAACCCATGTAAGAGCAGGTATGAGTCCCAATTGCTCCAACTTCCAATCCAGTTCCCTGCTGGTACACCTGGGAAAGCAGAAGCAGCGACCAAATCCTTGAGACTCAGTACTCATGTGAGACTTGGATAAAGCTCCTGGCTCCTAGCTACAGCATGGCCTAGCCCTGGCCATTGTGGCCATTTGGGGAGTAGATCCTTGTTTGTCTCTCGTCTCTCCCTCCCTCTCTGTTAACTCTGCCTTTCAAAAAAAAAAATAATTTTCTAGTACTATTACAAATTCTTACTGGGACTACATATTAGCTTTCCTTTAGAATAAAAATGTTACCTTTCTGAAAACTCAGGAATATTTTCCTGACTTGCTTTCATAATCTGGCTTAAATAAATTAGAGATGGCTTTTTCCCATAGTTTGGCACTTTAGCTAATAAGACACATGAAATATGTTATCTGGTATTTTTGATATTAATAAAATAAAATATCCTAACACCAACAATTCAGACCCCGCTATTAGGTTACGGTAAACTGGTCCAGAGCAAATAAAAGTCCACATGATTCCCTAGCTTGAACATTGAACTGTTACGATTATGTATAAAACATTGTAGTATTATCACCTGACCCCACTTTCTAAATATTAGTCGGATATAACAAAGTAATAGACCCACATCTAGAGTCTCTGCCTTTCCCTCACATAAACAAATTAATAGGGTAGCAAAGGACAGTTTAATCCTTCTATAGTGCTTCAAGTTTCATGAGCAAATTTCAATTCCTCTAGGTCACCTTCCTTTGAATACTATTTCTTCACATACTTCCCTATGTCTTCTAGCTAGCCTTACAGATCTTACATACATTCCATTAATTCTGGAGTTTCAGTATCAATACACTTTGCTTCCCACACCTGAGTTATTCTGGGGCCTAAAAATGTGTGTCCATTTATAAAATTCAAACAAATTATGTGGCCAAAAAGTCACCACAGATGAATCAAAAAACATTTAGACGTGGAAAAGTCTTTCTTATGGGATGTAAGCTTAGCTTCTTTTTGCTTATTCATTTATCCATTCACTTCAATACTGCGTTCTACTGTGTGCTCGGATTAATGTGAAATAAAACAAAATCTAATCTTCAAACTTAATCTACCAGGATTTCAAATTTTCAAGGTTGACTAAAACTTATGTGCAGTTTGCAGCCTTACTTGGACTTTACACAAATTCAAAAATGCAAAACTGAAGGTAAGTGGAGGCAATCTCCCTTGCTCATTCTGAGCATCCATAGTAATAGTTCTACAGTACTTGACATCAATGGCACAAAAACAAGACAGGGATGTTTTCTTTTTATCCTTTACTTAGGGTATTTATCTATTATGATAATTCAAGCTTAAGAAAGAAAAAGATAACTTGGCTTTCAAAAACCAGGCAGACACACAGGATGAGTAAAGATGGAATTGTTACCTATATACCTTATAAAATACGTAAGAAATAATTATTTTGCAAAATACTTTAATACCTAATTATGTTATACTGATAGTGTAACTAGCAGTAGTAAAATATTCTTTATTTTGGTTGAATGCCTAAAGCTTTATCTATGAACAAGACAAGTATAAATTAAATCTAAACAATACACTATTCTTACAGCAGACAAAAGCGAATTCCCTCCTTTATTAAGTTCTTATTTTAGGACATATCAATTTGTATTCCTCATAAGAGGCATGGCATTAAAAAAAAACAAAAAAGATGAGTTTTTAATCCTCCTGCTTCCAAAATTCTTATCAGTCTCCCTAGATCACAAGCAGAGTTAAACGTAGTAACATGTACAACATATCACCTCGACATTTTCCAGCTGAGTTTTTTTTTTCCAAATGTTACTTGTAGAAATTTAAATCACTAACTATATCCAGGATCAGCACATAGTTGCTGGATGATGAACTTTAAAGCAACTGTGCAATTAATCTGGCAAATGAATGTTGTAACTCAAACCTAACAACTCAAATTAGAGGTGAAAAACTCAACAATTCTGCTTAGGTGTAGAGTACGTGTGTGTGTGTGTGTGTGTGTGTGTATGTGTGTGTATATATATATATACTCCCATTATAAATTTGTGAGGGCTTAAGTCACCCTACCAGATCAATCAAGAGGAAAAAAGTAATTCATTTATATGTTAGGCAACACGTACACTTAAAATTTCAACAGTGTATTTCCCTTATATGATGTTACAATAAATGCACTATAAAACTGTTAGCTGAAGTGTAGGTAAAATAAATACTGTTTTGAGAACAGCATTTATCATTGCCCAAATTTTAAGATATTTAGCTTGGACTACAGCAGATAACTTTGAAAAAGTTTTCTCTAATATATAAAGAAAAAGTTTTTCTCTACCACCTAAATTACTGGACTGTTCGTATAAGAATGTCCTCTGATTTTTCTAAAGTGAGAACTTTGAGTTTACAATAAACATCTCTAAAATATTAAACTTTTTAAAAACAAATACTTAACTGAGATGCATTTATCCAATTATCAATATGTAGATAAAAGTAAATGAGAAACATTTTGAAGGGAAGCCTTGAACACTATGAATCCTTTCCCACATGGAAAGTAGTTATTAGCAAAATATTCACTAAGTAAAATGAAAATATTACCTGGTTTCTAAGGCACACAGTTAGCTACAACATCTAAAGTGGGATTTATTTGATGAAGTGTATTAAGCTCTCAGAACATTTGTTGTAACTCAGTTAGAAATAGGCAAGGATTCACATAATATGCCAGTCTGTAGTCCAGAAAGGTATGTCAACTAAAATATGTCAATCTCCACATCTGAAAACACTTACACATGACTGATGTAATATTTGGAAGAGTTTCTGTATAGAAGATTTTTTTAGGCTGACACACAGTGATCAGTGCTTTAGAGGGTCAGGTAAACTCAGTTCTCTTTTGTTCAACAATTCCTCATTTCCACTACATAAAGCTTGGTCTCCAGTTCCACTATCCAGTGCCTGCTTTACATTAAGTCGTACTTCATTAGTACCACATAAAGTGATTACATTGTAAAAGGCCTCTAGATCACTCTGTTCAAATGTAATAGCTGGTTTTAGTAATGATCCAGGAGCAAGAGAACCCTCTCCAACAATTCTCAGGTTGATAAATTTGATTTTCCAAGTATTTTCCACAAAAGGACAACGGATGAGTCCAAATATCTGTTCAAAAATACCCAAACAAGTGTTCCCTCGGTGGACAGTTCCAGCAACTCCAACCATAACTAACCCATGTGGAGAAGAAGCACACTTCAGTCCACGGGAATCCAGGTTGGGGCTGAGAAAAAGATATTCTTCTTTCACTAGTGACAGCAAACGAAGGCTCACAATTTCTGCTCCTTGGTAGTCTATCACATTTTGTTCAGATGTGTTGTAATAAAACCTAAGTTTCACATCATGCCAGAAGTGCTGTGGCCCCCATTCATCTTGAGGTGGTCCCAGAAAAGGATTCTGAGAATTAAGAAGTTCAAAGAACCAGTGACAGAATTCTTCTCCTAGGCGACGGAAATCAACTTTGTCAGCTTTTTTATCTTCTTTTGCCTGCTGAAATAAGAAATAAAATGAAAGCTTAATTTTTGTATCTATTTTTCTAGCTAGACTATTTCGGATTTAAAAGTATTTATTAGAGTCAAAGGCCTCCAGCCAGAGCAGCGTGGAGGGAGGTTTCCAAAAGAGGAATAAAAGCAGTGGGCTTTTTAAGTATGATTTTGAAGGAAAAAAACAAAAACAAAAACTTGACAATCAGATTGGCATTCAGTTACCAGGAGGGGACAAAAACCACCCAAAGACCTCATTTACAATTCTCCAACAGCCTGGCCTGCTAAGGGTGGGATAGGTAACTTGTCTTCACAATAAGCTGTGAGCTCAGGAAGAGCTCCCTCGCTATTCTCATGGTAAATTTGGAGATTCTGCAGGAAGGAAGGAGAGTGCTCTGTTTTTACTAAAGGAGGAAGCAAATATTTTACATCGCAAATTCCATTGGGAATTTGACTATTAACCCATCTGACTCCTCACATTCCCATCTCCTGAAGATGCCAACCCTTACATCTGTTAGGGGGAACTGGGCAATGATTGCTCTGGCTTCTTCATGCTGTAAAGGGGAGTCTTTGGGAAGGGGGATCAAGACAGGGTTCCAGCAGGAGGTGGCTTCTCCAGGGGGATGCAGTGCCAGCTTGCAGAAACTGCTTCCATCGCAGGTTTCATGTGCATGGGCACCTAGAATTTTACTTTTTTAAGTCCGGAGAAAACAAATCTAACAAGCAGTTTAAACTCACAGGATCTAAAATCACAGGATATAAAACCACGGACAGAGTATTAAAGGCCCTAAGAAAAGTGTCTAAACCAGAGTGCTATTTAGGACATCTGCCATTCTATGAGTCTGCTGTGTATCCCGCTTCCCATGTTGGATCCTTCTCTCCCTTTTTGATTCTATCAGTTAGTATTAGCAGACCACGAGCAAGTTTTTTTATTGAGAGGCAAATACAAACGGACAGAAAGGGCTTGAAAATAATCAGGTGGGCTTTAAAGTCTTGTCAGTTATGGGGCTCAGACCTATCAACCTCTTTACACTTGGTACATCATAAGGGCGGTACCCTGTTGATTTCCATTACCTAGCTAGATATACTGGGAGGAGAGCTGGGTTGAAGAGAAGGTAGGTGACATTTCTGAAAGGAAAACATTTTTAGTTAGCATACAGTTCTGCCTGCAATGTTGTTGACCCTACTTGGCCATCCCCTCGACAGTAGTAGTTACTCTGGAAGCTGGGCTGAGTGAAGGGCTTTTCAGCTTAGAGCTAAGTTTTAATACACCAATCACAGCAGAGGAAACTTAACTATATGTGATCTCATCTAGACCATTATGCATACAGAATTTTTTTTCAAAAAGGAGAAAAATAATTTTAGAATTTTCCACCATAAACAGGTAAAAATTCAGCTAACAAGCTATAGTTTAACAAGGTCTCTTAAGATATCAACATGAGGGCCAAACAATAGCGATTTATAAAAGCATTCTCTTATCTGTGGTAGTGTTTTCACAGGCATGCCTGTCAAAATCTTCAAACTGCCTTAAATAGATGGATTTTATTGTACATAAATTATGTGTCCAATAAAGTTCATAATAAAACATTTTCACAGTCTTTGAATAGAACTTCTAAGGTGATTGAAAAGGTCACTTTTTATGATTGAGGCTTGTTTTTATACCATTCTCTTTTTTCCAAGGAAAACTATGTCCAACAGGCGGCATCTCCTTTATGTATTTCAAAGCACAATACCTTATTGAGACAGTAAGAGCTCTTATGTTTCCTGAGCATCTGCTATTGAATATATGGGCACAGTGTATGCCACTTAAGTGATCATTTTATAGATGAAGAAAGCGACTCAAAAAGGTCAAGCACTTATCTAAGTTCACAGCTATTATACAGCACACTTAGTTTGAAATCACACCTATAGGATTTAAAAGTCAATATTCCTTTCATTCCATTAAATAAAAAACTCTGTAGAGGATCCATTTCAAATTTGAAGGCAAAGCCCTCTCACTGTAAAATCTCATTAATTCAAAGTATGAGGCATTTATTTAAGAATGTGCAAATTATCTAGAGGTTCACTCAGTCAACATTTAAATACTCATACTCAACATCCAAAATGTACAGTAGAGAGACAAAGACACAGAACAGCCAAAATGAGTCAAAGCAAAACAAGTACAGAATTTTTTGTAGTTAAAAAAATAAAGTATCAAATTTATATTTCTTAGAATTTTTTGCAAATCAATATCAAAGAAAGTCTTTAAAATGATAAAGGATTTACAATAACATTCTTTTTAAGTAAAAAAAAAATTACACAGAACTAGGGTCCAATTTAAAAAGCAATTTTGGATTCCTGTGAACTGAAGCGTGCGCCATCTTAGCAATTGCTAAGCCTCCATCTGCAATGTCAGAATGCCATATGGGTGCTGGTTCAAGTTCCAGTTGCTCCACTTCTGATCCAGCTCCCTGATAATGCTCCTGGCAAAGCAGCAGAGGATGGCCCAAGTGCTTGGGAAACTGCACCAATGAGTAAGACCAGGAAGAAGTTCTGGCTCCTGGCTTCAGATCAGCCCAGCCCCAGCCACTGTGGCATTTGGGGAGTGAACCAGTGGATGGAAGATCTCTCTCTCTCCCTCTCTCTCTGTATTTTTGCCTTTCAAATATAAGTAAATAAATCTTTAAAAAAATTTGCAATTACTGTGTAATATTCAATAGTCCTATTTGCTGATGGAGAGCATCTTTTTTCTGCCTTCATTAAATGTCAGAAATATTTATATTTTAATTTTCTAAAGGTTTTTCTTCCTTCAGAATGCAAATGATACAGAGTAAATTTAAAATTAAAAAATTATTTACCATCTTCCCATAGACCTTGGATTATTTACAGAATTTCAGACAGAACAAAGGTTCAGAATATAACTATAAGATCTACTTTACCTGTTCAAAGAGTTGGATGTTTTCTGTCTTCGTAACTGGTTCTGGTATTTCCTTCAATTTCAGCTGTGACTGTCTCTTCCAGTAATCTTTTGCATGCTGAATAAGATTGTGTTTTTCAGTAGAAGGAGGTATAATAACCCCTTGTGTTGCCAAGTATTTAAATATGACTTCTCGGTGGACTTTTTTACGTTTCAGAAGTTCTTCTACACTTTGACTGTACACTAATATTGCACGAATGGCATCTAGAAGAAAATTGTAAAGATTAAGAAAAAAAATGAGACACTTGTAAATTTTGCCCATTGTCAGCAGAAATCATCAGATCATATTTATAAACTCTTGTCATGGCACTTGTTTTTGCATGAAATAGTTTTCTTTAAAAAAAAAAACTAGGAAGTGGGTTGTCTGGGCTTTCTTTTAAATTCTTACATGCTTCAGACTTCCCTAAAACCATGCCTTCTCCTTTCACTTCCTGTAAGTAATAGTAAAACTTGCATGCTTTGTTTTAAAGGATTGAGTTTTAAGAAAAAATTTGGGCCAGAAAAGATTTATTTCTTTACTTGAAAGTCAGACTTAAAGAGAGAGAGAAGGAGAGGCAGAGAGAGAGGTCTTCCATCTGCTGGTTCTCTCCCTAGTTGGCCACAATGGCTGGAGCTGTACTGATCTGGAGCCAGGAGCTTCCTCCGGGTCTCTGATGCGGGTGCAGGAGCCCAAGGACTTAAGCCATCCTCTACTGCTTTCCCAGGCCATAGCAGAGAGCTGTAATCGGGAAGTGGAGCAGCTGGGACCCAAACGGGCACCCATATAGGATGCCGGCACTGCAGGTGGCTTTACCTGCTACGCCACAGCGCTGGCTCCAGAAAAATTATTTTTTTAAGGTCAACGACCTACATTCATAACCAATCTCTAAAAACAGGCAAAAACCACTAATATGGCAACAAATTTTAGTCCAATTTCCTTATAGTACAGATAATCAAAGTTGAAGACACATGAGACATCAATAACCCCACTTCTGGAAGCAACAGAACCAGTACATTTTTTTAATTTAAAAATTATACGTTAAACACACAGATTGAAGAATATTTTTGAGATACTTGGTGTACACAGAATGGCAACAAAATGAACTACAAATACACCTCCTAGCTTAAAATCTTAAAACAAAAGAGTTATCTTGGAGGGCCAAGGTTCCCCCTCTCTTTAATAGTATTCACCTTTCTTCTCACCTACCTCACAGGGAAGCTGTTTATCATCCCCTTGCTTCTCTTTCAAGTTGTACAGCATAAGTATGTACTCTCTGGTAATACATTAAGCCTGGATTTCTAAATGTTCTATGACTTCAATCCATCAACACATAGTCCTCTACAATTATTTCACTGAATGTTTTTGAGACTGATCTGTAATACACAGCTCTCCTTTTTCACCATTGTACTAAAATATATGAATATACAAGACTTCTATTTTTCTATTTATAGACTTTAAAACATGCTTCCTTTTACAAACACAGATACTTTTTAACATCCTCTTGCCCATCTCCCAGTGTAAAGAAAGGCAAACAAGAGAGCTTGCTAGAAATGCAGAATTTCTGGGCCTCCCCCAAAACAACTGAGTCAGAATCTGCAGTTTACCAAAATTTCTGAGGTACTCAAAGGGACACTGAAGTTTTGAAATCAAACGAGCAGCACAGGCATAAAGTACTTAATTAACCTTTTTTGGAAAACAATGTCAAATTTGTTTTCCACAGCCCTAGACCTCATTTCACTCCTCCATTAGTAGTCAAGGTTGGTGCATAAGTTCACCAACACTTCATTTATACACAAATTTTTTAAAAAATCAATCTGATACATATAAAGACTTTGTGTTGCTGGCTTTCATGTCACGTCATTCTAAAGAAGTTAGGTATATATTCACACCTTTATTGTTTATATTTTTTACCCAGGGAAATGTCTCTCCAAATCATTTAAACATTATTGTACCAGGGAGAATTTTTCCCTTTATTTGTTTTTAGATTCACTATTAATTAAATCCAGTATGTGATCTACAATTTTAAATTCACAGTAATTACAACTGAAAGATTCTCAGCATGTCAAACATGTAAATGTTTAAGAACTGTAAACCTAAAACTATTTTCAGTTTAAATTCTTAAATTTCTTCCCATTTTTCAATGGTCATTATCCAAAGTTACAAGTGACTGACTTTCTTAAATGGCAAAAATGTAAATCCGATCTAAAAGCAGAGAAATACAGTTAGAGAAGGCAGACTCTTTTCGTAACCCATATCCTACCGTAAATTTCACTTTTTAAAGTAAAACTCAGCAAATCAAAGCAAAACGAGCTCTGAAATACAAAACTAAGCAGTTTTCCTTTTTAGATGAACTAGTTGCAACTGGGCTCAATATTAAACCTTTGAACTCTCCCGAGACGTACATTTGGTTCTGAAAATGTACTCCTGGAATACAAAATCTTCTCGGAAAAATTCTGGCTTCAAAAGCAGACATGGATTGAAACCATCTGCCTTTTCTTAACAGTAGTCGTTCCACCTGGGAGACTGACAGAAACTTGTACATTCTAGCCCCACCCCGCCCCCACCCCGCCCCCACGCCGTTTGAGGGAAAAAGCCCGAGCAGCAGCCGACAGGATTAACCCAGCTGACCGAAACTGAAAACGAACACTACACCCCGGCTTCTCAGAAATTCAGAAAAATGATTTCTGAGGTGCTCTGACTCCTCCAACCAATAAGCGCTTGCCCGTAACATCTGGTGGACGAAACCTGGAAACTGTGCCACTTTAGCCCCACCACCTCCCTAACGCCCGAGTGGGATTCGTGCAGACGCGGCGGCCAGGACCTTCGAGGATTTGGCCCACGCTCGGTCTGGGACTTACAGACTGGTGGGCCGCGAACTTCTCACGCCCCCGCTCCACCCCCCTGGGGTGCGGGTTTAGCGTCGGGAGTGGTGGGGGCCCTCAGGGGAGAAGGTTCTTCCCTTACCTTGGCGGTCTTCAGGGTGCACCAGGCGGTTGGTGACAGTGTCGCACAGGGCCATGATCTCGTCGTTGTCCAGTAGGCCGAGCAAGTTACGACAGCCCTCCATTTCTCGGCCGCTGAGCCCCGACATCTCGACCCCCGGAAAGGGGGGAGAGGACGACGCCAATAACGTCGCCCCTCCGGCCCCACCAGGCCCGTGCCTTGGCAACAGACACCGGAAGTGCCTTTCCTGTGGTTCGCCACTGAAGGGCCTCCGGTATTCTAAGCCCCTGTGTGCGGAAGTAGATCTAGGAGACCAGGCAGGAAACGCGGTGCTCCGATTTTGTGGTTCCGGGCTGGCTCCGACAGAGTGAGGTCCCAGGGATCCTACTTAGGGGAATCGCCGCGTTTCCACGGAAAGCATCTACCTTTCCCAAGTGAGCTGGGGACAGAATAGCTAACCCCTGAATTCCTCGAGCGCCCTTCACCTAAAAGAGGGCTTAGGAAAGCTGTGCAGGTGAAGGTGCGTGGAAAGCGGGCGGAGCTGCCCGGCGCACCGGGAGTTCCCGTGATGCCCCGGGGCCAGCCAATGGAGGCGGCTCCTCCCCGCCCGCGCTCCCGGCCCCCGCCCGCGCTTTAGAGTCCTCAGCGGCCACTTCTGAGTTGGGTGAGCCGGTAGTTTGATAGTCTTAAATTAGGTAAATCAAAGGAATTTGATTTTGTGTCACATTATGTTATGCAAGTTTTTTTTTTAAAGAGGTAATCACGCTTCCTATGCTGCGCCCTCCCGCCTCCCGGCTGATTTTTCCTTTCAAACGTGCTGGGATCGTCTCCTGCCTCCCTTCCCCTGGTAGCCGGTTCTGCCTTAATCTGAGACGGAGGTTGGGGTTCTGGAAACCCGATTGCCGAAGTTTTACTCCGCCGTACTGAGAACAAGCTGCTCACTCAGCATTTTTTTGTCCCTCTGTTTCTTATCTCGAAATGGATTTAATAGAGGACCCTCACAGGGTCGTGCGCGCGGGGAACGGCTGTGCTCCATATATGTGTTAGCTGTTATGACTGTTAGTGTGACAGAAACCCTCATTTGAAACAACCATACGCTCTTGGGCCGGGCAGTCGGACTCAAACACACTATCTCTTGCTTCTGTATTCCATATTTTAGCCGTAATTTAGATAACGTTTAATTTTAGGGTATTGCCATTTAGTAGGTGAAATGTACCTAACCTAAAATCCAAGTGAGCAAACTTAACATTTTAAAAATATTATAGTTAAGTATCAGTTGTAAAATACACTGTAAATCTATCCTTTTAAACAAGGCCTTCAAAATATGGATAAGTTCATTGCCAGTGGAGATTATTTGGGGTGCTAGTTACTCAGTAGGTAGCAATTTTTTTCATTTAGCGCTGATTGCCTACAATGCAAGTTACTGAAGATTCAGAGGAATGACAGGAGTGAACTTCAAGGACCTTTTGAGACTGATGCAAGTAAAGCAGTAATACAAATCTGGTGTGGGACCACATGGAAGGCAAGCGCAAGTTTGTCTTTCACTCATTCTGTTACTTCATCTGTTTTGTGCTTATCTGAATAGGCAGCTTGAGGTTATATTCTAGAGAGACAACAGAGACAATAAACATACAAGAAACTCTTAGGAGAGGCTGTGGAGGAAAAGAAGTCAAAAAGAGGGGCATGGAGAGAATGTTACTACTTTATATAGATTGTAAGGAAAGTGAGCTTGAAGAAATGACCATACATAAGGGAGAAAGTGACCTGCAGAAGAGCGTTTGAGGAAGAAGCAACTGCAGAGGTTTGAAGATGGAGGCATGTTCCCGGCTGGTGGGAAGGAGGCCAGAGCAGCTTGAGCAAAGAGGAAGCAATGAGCAATGTGGCTAGGTTTGCTGCCAGTACTGGTCTACAACAGAATTTCTCAACAGTAGCACTAGTGACATGTTTGGCTAGATAATTCTGTGTTAAGGGAATTGTCCTGTGTAGTATAGGATGCTTCACAGCATCCCTGGCCTCTGCCTACCAGGTGCCAGTGGCACCGCCACCCCTCAGTTATGGCAATCCAAAATACCTCCAGATTTTGCCAAATGTCCCACATTCTCCATTGAGAATCACTGATACTGAAAAACCTGTCAAAGTGCTTTCTGAGATGAAGAAAATTTTTATTTGGGCAGTGCAATGCCTTTGGGATGTGACTAGTACAACTGAGGAACTGAATTTCAGATTTTGTTTGAATTTCAATAAAATTTTAATAGCAACATGTGGCTAGTTGCTACTATATTGGATAGTGCAGATCTGGAGCCTTATAGGTCATTGTAGAGACTTCAACTTTTATCTTTTATCTTTTACTCTGACTTCATTTCCTATTACTCTTTTTTATTATTATTTTAAGATTTATTTATTTGAAAGACTGACACAGAAAGAGGGAAAGAGATTTCATTGGCTGGTTCAGTTCCTGAATTATTGCAAAGATCCGAGCTGGGCCAGGCTGAAGCTAGGAGCCAGGAACCAGGAGCATATTCTGGGTCTCCCACATGGGTGCAGAGGCACAAATATTTGGGCCAACTTGTGCTGCTTTCCCAAGTGCATTAGCAGGGAGCTGGATTGAAGCAAAGCAGCTTTGACTTGAACCAGCACTCCTATGGAATGCTGGCATTATAGGCAGCTGTTTAGCCTTCTGTAGTACAACGCCAGCCCCTAGTTTCTTTCTTTTTTTTTTTTTTTTCCACTTTATTTATTTGAAAGAGTTACAGAGAGTGGGAGAGGTCTTACATCTGCTGGTTCAACGCCCCCACCCCCACCCCCCGCGATGGTCACAACAGCCCAGAGCTGAGCCGATCTGATCTGAAGCCAGAAGCCTCCCTGCATCTCCCACGTGGGTGCAATGGCCCAAGGACTTGGGAGATCTTCTGCTTTCCTAGGTACATCAGCAGGGAGCTGGATCGGAAGTGGAGCAGCCAAGACAAACCAGTGCTCATATGGGGTGCTGGCGCTGCAGGCTGGGGCTTTAACCCACTGCACCATAGTGCCAGCCCCAGCCCCTGGTTTCTTATTCCATACTAATCACAGTGGTTCCCTTGCTACCTATTCCTTTAACTTGGCATGTAGGTTCCTGCCTCAAAGTCTTTACTCTCACTATTTTGTCTGACATATTCTCTTTTTGGGAAGGCTTCCTTTCCCTTACTTTATTCAGGCCCCTGCTTAAAAGTCAACTTATCAGAGAGGCCTTTCCTCATCATCCTCTTTGAAGTCACTGCCAACACCACCATACATATTTACACATTTCCTCCTCCAGTGGTTCAGACACTGGTTTGAGTAAACTCAAAGGTCCATGATTAAAGGCTATCCCCAGGGTGGTGCTGTTGGGGGGTGGCAAAACCTTTAGAGGTAATGGTCTGCTGAGAGGTCCTTAGGTAATTAGAGGCATGCAATATTTCTCATGCAGCCACTTGGGAATTCTTATAGAACCTGCTAAGTTCTTGAGAGATTGTTCATCTAAAGCCTGGTTTTGGGCTGTCCACTCTGTGCTCCTGGTTGGAGATGTAATCACTCACTTGTCTTAGACATGTTGTTGCCATGATAGGCCATCCTCTGCTCTCACCAGAGGCCAAACCAATGTCCTCCCACCACAGTAACAATGGCCATGCTTATCCTAGACTTTGAACTTCCAAAACTGTAAGCTAAGTTTTGTAAATAGCCTGTGTCAGATATTTCATTGTAATGATGGAAAGCTAATACATCTACTTAATTTTCTCTATAGTATTTATACTACACCTTTGTTGCCCTCCAGTAGAATGTGAGCTCTGTGAGGCTTATATTGTTTTTCTTTTCATTACCTGTTACATAGGGTGGCACAGAGTAGGTATGCAATGAATATTTGTGGAATAAATCAGTTGTGAAATCATTAAAGAATGACATAACCTGACTTGCTTCAAACAGGACCTTTGGCTACTATTATGAAGAACAGATTGAAGGAAGGCCAGAGTGAAGGCAGGGAGCCCAACTATTATAGTAGTCCTGGTGAGAGAACATGGTGGCTTGAATTAGAACGGAGGACACAATACCGACAGGATTACTGCAAGGTTTTGATTTGGGTAACTAGAGTTGCAATTTACTTAAGGTAACAACATTGGGAGAACTAGGTTTCAATAGGAAAAGAAAAATAATCAAAAAATGGGAATTCTGGAGCTTGTAGTGATTGCTAAGGAGAATTAAATCAAAGAATGAGGGGTAGGGTGGGAAGAAGGTGGAGACTTACCAGTAAAGGAAGCTATAGTGAAAAAAATGAGTGGCATGGGTGTAGGTATTGTGGCACAGAAGTTAAGCTGCCTCTTAGTACCCACAGTCCCTATCTGAGTGCTGGGGTTTGAGTCCTGGATCTGCTTCCCATCCAGCTTCCTGCTGATGTGCACTCTGGGAGGCAGCAGGCGATGGTTCAAGTACTTGGGTCTCTGCCACACTTGTTGGAAACCAAGATGGAGTTCCAGGCTTCTAAGATTAGGCCTGACCCAGTCTAGGCTGTTGCAGGCATTTGGGAAGTGAACCTGTGGATGGAAGATCTTGCTCTGGGAAGTGAATCAGTCGATGGAAGATACCTGCCTGTCCCTGCTTCTCCACTATCCCTCATCCCCGCATAGCTTTTAAAATGAAAACAATGAGTTAACTAAAATAGCAAAAACAACATGGGATGAGAGCAGGTAGGATTTTTAAATATGGATGAAGCCAAAGATAGGACAGTAGCCATAACACAGAGAAATATAGCAAAATCTTAACAGGAAGGGGTCAGCACCAGAATTAAAAAAAAAAAAAAAAAATAGGGCCCATGGCTGGTTAAAGCCCTGGCCTGCAGGTTAAAGCCCTGGCTTGCAGCATCCCATATGGGTGCCAGTTAAGTCCCTGCTGCTCCACTTCTGACCCACCTCCCTGCAGATGTGCCTGGGAAAGCAACAGAGGATGGCCCAAGTGCTTGGGCCCCTGAACCCAAGTGGGAGACCCAGAAGAAGCTCCTGGTTTCAGGCCGGTTCAGCTCTTGGCCATTGCAGCCATCTGGGGAGTGAACCAGTGGATGGACAACCTCTCTCTCTACCTCTAACTCTTTCAAATAAATTAAAAAAGAAAAAAGGAACATTTTTAAGGATTTTATTTATTTGAAACGCAAGAGAGAGGAAGAGAGATCTTCCATCTGCTGGTTCACTCCCCAGATGGCCACAATGGCCAGGGTTGGGCCAGGCTGAAGCCAGGAGCATCATCCGCGTCTCCCACATGGGTGGCAAGGCCCCAAACACGTGAGCCATCGTCCCCTGCTTTTTCCCAGGCCATTAGCAGAGAACTGGATCAGAAGTGGAGTGGCTGGGACACGAACTGGCACCCATAAAAGATGCTGGCATGGAAGACTATGGCTTTACCTGCTATGCCACAACGCTAACCCTTAAACTTAATTTTTATAAACTTGTGAGAGCAGGTGTTCAATTTTAACAGATGAAGAAATCTGAGCTCAGTGGGACGTACTCAGTTGATTAGGTCTTTATAACTAAAACCACTATGCTAGAATTTGAGTACAACACAACCAATCCCAGGACTCAAATTTACTCCTATTAAATCAAGTTCTGGTAGTTTCACCTACTGATTGCTTTTTTTGGGGAAAAAAATTCTCTAGTGCAGTTT